TACATGGATGTGGATGATGAAGACATTGAACTTCCCGAAGAAGAACCGGAACTAGGAAGTAAGGTACCACCTTACTCTCCGAGAGCCAAAGGTAGACCACATTCGTCAGACTCTGCAAAAGAGGAATACGCAAAAGCGGTCGAGGCAACCAAGAAGGCCTTTGGGAACGCCAGCTTCGTCACCAGATTCAAAGAGCCCGTCGACCTCTTTGACATTGCCGATGACAAAGAAGGAGGAGAGCACAAGGTCGCAAATCACAGGGTTGATAGATCAGGTCCTGATGGAAAGAGGGAACTTGATGCACTTATTCAGGAGGCTGCAGCACTCGGAATAAAGATGCCCAAAGTGAAGGACCTTGCTCCTGATCCACAACAATTTCAAAAGGCTGGATATCGGCAGATTGAGGTGACTTGCGATAGAGGAAACATTGAGATAATTCCTCAGTATGGAGTTACATTCTATGTGGAGTACTGGAATGGACCGAAGATAGATGCAACTTACACGGATCCACCAAAGATGAACCCAGCAATTCGCATCGACAAGCTCAGCGAGGAGAGTCAATGGGTCAACGAGATTAGCCACAGACTCAATAGACTACTCAGGCATGGAGTGGGAAAGCATAATGGGATTCAATCGCACCGCGGTCGAAAACCTCATGTGTCCCCGAAGTGCAATGAGGGTGGATGGGTGAACATCGATGAGATCCTGGAATATGATCATGTCTTCAACGATGGTGTCAATATCAGTACTATCACAGGTACCCGACGTGAGCAAGATATCAAGACAGAGCGATACCAATATTTATGCAAGGCGATGTGGCATGCAAAGAAGTTGCAGAACAGAGTACGCTATCAGATTGCCGCCGTTCGCATCTCCAAGGAGGATGTCTCACTCGAAGAGGAAAGGCGATACTGGGCAAACCTCATGTTTCACGGCACAGATGCACCATCATTTCTGAAGCATGAACGTTGGATCGTTCCTTGTGCAATTCGAGCCGTTGCCTCTCACAATTCTGGAAGAGAGACTGTTCTTGAAGAGGATGTGTCAATATATCCTGTATGGACTTCACATCTCATTCCAGAGAATGTGGCAATGCAGCTTGGAGGAAGCTTTCACATGACATCGCTTTCCAACATTGAGTCAATCATGAAACTAGGAATTGTCCCTGGTGGAATGGATGGATATAGAGGTAGTGTCTTCTTCAACCACTTTGCGCCATGGGATGATCGATCATCAAAGATCCTGAGATCAAGATGGCCAAGAGGGGGAATGCCCGTTTGCCTTTATGTTCCAATCATGACTTTGAGGAAGCTTGGAGGAAGAATTTCGGAGAATTCCTACACTGTTGTTTTTAGAGAAGTTCCATGGAGATGTGTACGAGGTGCTTGGTATTGGGATGACCACGGTCAGGCATGGAGGAGACTCCTGCTGGGAAGCACTGGAGAACAAGTTGTTCTAGCGGCACGTCATGGACTTTGGGTTGCTCAGAAGCATACCATCCTCGGGAGAGCCGACGAAGTCACAAAGTCAGCCTCGGCGACAGATGACAACGTCCAGAAGCTCGTGTCCCTTATCGATGAAGTACGATTCGATGACAATGGAGAGTTGATCGAGGATTCCATCAGTGAGGAAACTTGGGACGAAATCATCTCCAGAACATGTGAAGGGTATCGCAACGTGGATGGCAATATTTTGTGTCCATCATGTATGCATTTGACTTCTTCATCTTTGTCCGTATGCCTATCTTGTCAAGGCAGGTTACTCTCGTGTGGTATTCGCAACACTGTCATTTCCGATTCACCTGTTGATCTTGTGAGCGACGATGAAGAGGAAAAGAAGGAAGAGAAGAAGCCTGAACATGATGATCAAGATATGTTGGATCAGGCCACTATGGACGAGATCAGAAAGGCTTGGGAAGAAGACATCGCTCAAACTGAAGCAGCTGATGACGACGAGGACATGGACAATCAAGATCCTTCCAAACCGTCTGATGGTGCAGAGAACCTCAAGAGTGACAATGTCGAGACCCCATCTTTCAATGAGGATGAGATCGACTACGGTCGTGATTCTGATCTAGAAGATGAAGACGAACGAAACGTGATCATCGAGATCCAGAGGAGCACACAACAATATGAGGGGAAGAAACGTCAAGATGGTGAGCCCGAGGATGAAGACGTCACCGACGACTTACATCCGGAGGCGAATCGACCGACAGATCGTGATGAACCGGGATACTATACACAGCATGGAGCGACCGAGTTCAATCCCGAAGAAGGAAGAGACAACGAAGATCTCCCCATCTATTGTCGAGTACCGGAACCTCGAATCTATGCGCATCAAGAGAGAGCCTACTGTCAGGACGTCTCCATGAATGCATCGGGTTTGATGGATAGGTATGTGGTCAAATGTGTGCTGAACATGATCTCCCTGATGTACAAGAGCTACTATTGCACCAGCCTTACCGACTTCAAAGCAAATTGGAAAAAGAAGCGTCTGGATGTGATAAGCAAGTTCGGTACAGGAGATTCCACTGAAATCGATGACGATGGGAGACCATTGGATCCAACAGATGACATGATGTTAAACTTTGCCAACGACAACAATATTACAACTGAGGAGGCCTGGCACCGATTCAGAGGAGAACAATTCATTTGCAAGGTAGCACTCATGATCCTATCATTCGGTCATACTCCGAAATCCTTCAAAGAGGAATATGGCAACTTCGAATACTCCACCGACTTGACTGATGCCCAGCTTGAGGAGTTGAAAGCGAAGAAAGCCAGTGCAATGACTGAATTGGTACAGAAGTGCATCCATGCGATTTATGGGTGTCGGACATATTCTTATTTCAGAACCGACATTACATCACCCTACCACAAGGTGATCGATCCTCTGGACATCATGTATTCGAGAATGAAGAGCAAGTGGGAGAAGTCTATTCTTTTGATCATTGATCAACATGAAATCAGGTTGCCCCCACAAGCTCAGGAAGTCATAGAGTCAATGGCCAGAAACCCCAACGTTGGACATACAGAGAGATGGATGAGCGTGATAGAACACAAGCATGTTCAAGCTCTTACCAATCGTCTAGGCTTTGGAGATAGGGCCAAGGAGATTCAGGGCAAGAAGAAGCAGGCAGCCAAGGCAACAGCTAAGCCAGCATCTACACCCAGAACCGAGGCCAAGCCGTCGTCAGCACCAAGTGAGGAACCAAAACCTTCAGCAGCACCTAAGAGTTTCGGGCCCTCATCAGCAGAGGAGATCAAGGCAAAAGCTGCTCCAAAAGCCAGACCACATGATAAATCACCATCCAGTGCTACCGATGCGTTTGAGCAAGCTTTGCAGGAAGATCTTGCCGCCAACGCACATGCAGTAGAAGGTACAACTTCTTCATCATCCCGAGGACATTCCAAAGGAGGAGGCCAATCTGGAACATCTTGGAGGCCGGCGTTAACGCAAGAACGTCGCGAAGTACCTCAACCTTCTGAAAAGGGAAAGGGAAAGAGCAAGTCCAAGGGAAAGTCCAAGAAGGGAGAAGATGATCGGTGGGATGCTCAGGGCAACTGGGATCATCGTGGATGGAGAGGTTATCACCAGTGGTGATTTCTTTGAACGACTATGAGGATACCATGCAAACCAGGGAGGAAGTCATTCACCGGATGTCTATCTGACCTGGAACGCTGTAAGTGTACCATTGCAAATCGACAATTTGATTTGATACCATGAGCATAATGGAAGGAAGACAATCACCGACTGTCTCTCCGACTTGCCGTTCTGTAAGTGTATCCAAACCAAAACCTACATCTTTGAGAAGTGTGAAGTCAATTGCCGATGTGACATCTACGTGGAAGTCACCAGTTCGGGTCTACATCAAAGCGAAGCTCTTTTGAGTGGATACTGAGCGAGGCTTCGTGACTGTCTCACTTGTTCAATTCGATTTTTTTTTCATAGGTTCTGAGCCATAGTTGCACACTTTATATGTAAAAGTCCGCTTTAGTCCGACATGTTCTGTAGTATGAGCCTCATATGAGTCTCGCGGCAAATCATACAATTTCTTTGTAGCACTTACATCCCTAAATTTTCGTGTGTGATCGGAACATATTGTTACCGTTCACATGGGGGGTGCGAATGGAAGTGCAGCGACATGTACAGTGCAACATGTACATATATATATATATACCATATGTACTTTGGCTCAAGGATCAAGCGACTAGAAAAGGTGCGGTTTCCGTTCCGACGCTACGCCGCTTATGGACCGTCAGTGATAGCTTCAAACTACGCTGATTAAGATCCACTCGCAATATATAGTATTATAGTAGTAAAGTAGTAGGACGTCGTTTTGTGATTCATGGATTCAAATTGAGACGATGAATGTACTTGCAGTTGAAAGGAGTTGAGTGGTTGGACCAGAAGTGATAGGGGCACCCCGGAACCCCTCCAACAAGATGCAATAAGCACTCCCTTGAATGAGAGTTTGTAGTTCATGCGGTCGATATATATATATAATCATCCTGGAGTAGATAGAATCTACTTTCGTAGGGGGTGTTTTTTCTTTTTGACAAAAACTCGAGTTTTTGACATCCCTTTCATTTTATGAAGACTGACTCAGACTGACCCTATAGATAGAATATATATGATATGTATATATATATATATTAGATTCTTATCAACTCCTCCCATTCTGGTATTATCTAAGCGTTCCTTTCCTTTTTTCTTTTCTTTAGAACGAACAGAAAATAGAACAAACAGAGAAGGAAAAGGACAACAAAGGAAAAAGAAGAGAAGCCCCTACAACCATATTCTATCTATGGGGTTTGGAAGATTTGGAAGGGCCGGTTTTGAGGAGTGAATTGTTTTTGAAAATTTGTCCATTCTATCTACTCCAGGATGATTATATATATAGCATCACAACAGTAACCCCATACAAGCTGTAGAATCAAACATCCCAAACTGAACCAGTAATTCTTAAAATCCCAGTGAAACCAACACCAAGTCCCTCCATGCTTCGCATTGGGTCCGGTTCGAAACCGCTAGTCCTCACCCACCGGGGCACCGGGGCCATACCGCGCCCCGACAACTCGGCCCAGGCGGCGTTGGAAGATCCGATGATGACCTTTGGCCAGGCGAGCGGACCCTGATCTTGCCGGTTGATTGAGTCCTTCTGGACCGGGGGGTTAATGATCAATACCCACCACCTGCACCCAGCCTCCTGGACGGGTGCCCACCAGTACAATGTCAATAGGAATGATCACAGTTGTTGATCGCGCAAGCGCAATGGATCCGGTGGAGTTCGATGCGGTTTCCTCCGGTCTTGGATCCGAACGGTCTTAGATCCCCCCGAGACGCGAACGCTGAAAGTTCGTGGAGACCGGCGAACGCTTAGACCAGAACACTGATGACAGGGTGGCTGGAATGGTGGCTGACCAGAGAAACCAGATGAGCAATGCTGACACCGTCGGAGTCGATATACGCTTTGAGCATCATAGATAGTCACGTTCCAGGGAAACGGATGGCGCCACCTGTTTGGTCTTCGGATGACCAATGGTCATCCAACAGGCCATGCCATCCACGTAACCAGGATTATTCCTGGGAGTGTATTTATACTATATATAATCATGTGTGTGTGTTTCCTGTGAACACCAGATTTCTATAGTGTGGTCAGGGTAGATGTTCAGCTACCATGCTATCAGATACCCAAGAGGCTCAATGGCATGGAGGGACAATGGAGGGTCATTTTGGAGTGTGAACCTGTGTGCAGGGGTGCCATAATCTCAGATCCCCCATCCATTACAATTCAAACAAGTACTACATGAGTGTAGTTCCATGTTGTATAGACTGTCTAGACCTATATTTACCACCCAAACGCTTCGATTCCCAAGGCCATATTTGTGCCAGGACTTGTGGGTGAGTGAATTCCAACCCAGTTGAGAGCCATCAATGGATCCGCCACCATCCACGACATCTCGACCATCACATCGGTCAGACCCGCCTCACTTGGCAGGGCCTTCCCCGCCCCACGGCGGTCACGCCCACGGCTGCACCGGCGGCGGTGCCTGCCATGGTTGGGCCCGGGCCGGTGGCAAAGGCAGCTGAGGCGCCAGAGATGGGTGGGGGAGGATGATGTCAGATGAGTCCTCTAAAGGAAGGACCGAAGAGACCAGCTTGTCCAAAGCATTTTCAGTGAAAAAACATCGAATGTATACATATACAGTATGAATGTCCTGAAGCATATCAGTGCCCAGCCTGTCCGGACGGGATTGAAGTCTACCGCGGAGGCGTGAACCTTGCGACAGGGGCATCCGATGGCACACTCGTTGGACAAGGACAAGCTGGTTCATTGATGTTCATCTGGCCGTACCCTCTACGACTTCATGTACTATTGACAAGGTCCTTTGGCATTCGTGCTCCAGACCCTCCCCCACCACTACCCAACTCCCCTAAATAGCTGGTTTGCCTGCTCTAGCTAGGTCAGGCCATGTCCTCTGACCCGATCCAGGCGGCCTATGCTGCGGTGCGGAAGTCGCGAGCACCGGCGGTGGGTACTCCGGAGCTATGGCATGCTGCCTGAGGGCCTAGCACGCGTCACCAGAAGGTCCAGCGGGTTGAGCCTGACAGGTGCTGGACCTGGCGTTTTCTGGGCTTCGTAAACGGCATCGCGACTCGAACGGAGGGAGTGATCGGACGCGACTAATTAGGGGCGCTCCTGGCCTTACTATACTATAGGAGCAAGAAGCTACTAGGGTCAATATGGGTCAATTTATAAGTAACTTTAACATAGCTTTAACGTTATTGCCATATCAGAACCTTCGAAGTAACACCTCACAGCCGAGTTTCTTGTTCACAGGTTGGTCTGGCTGTCTCAGACAATGGATGTATAAGTACAACAAAACACAAAAGAAATGAGTCACCCTAATGTTATATCATAGAATGGCACCTGTTTAAGCATGAAGGGCGTCTCGGCGAAGCATGAAGGGCGTCTCGGCGTCTCAGCGTCTCCAACACTCCATGTACCAGGACCTTCAGTTTGCGACCTCTTTCGTGTCTTTGTTTGTGACCTTTTACAGGCCTGACCTCGTGACTTCATCCAGGGATCCCAAGTTCGGATCGTTGGGGATGCCCGGTAGGTGACCGGTCTGTGTCGCGGCCAGCGCTCATTTTACAGATACCGGGATCAGTGGACAGAACGCATCCCTAAGATTAATATCATTTTAAGTCTTGGAGGTGCGTTTCCTCCGAAACCCTCACATGTTCAGCAATTCTTCTCAAGAAACAGTTACACCTGTGCCCCTGCCAAGTACACACCGTCTACTACTGCTGGAAGCGTCTGTCTCCCCGAAACGAACCCACCAAACGCCCCGCCTGCGCGATGCACCCCGTCCGGTGACTGTCTCGAGGTCCATGTGGGTGATGAGATCACGATCGCTCGGCTCATCCACCAACAGCTCTGCAACGGACCGCGGGAACGTGGGGGACGGGACGTTCGTTTGGGCCGGTCTGGAAGGGACGGGCCGGGGGGCGTTTCGGCGGTGGGGGCGAAAAGAAAGGCGAGGAGGGCTAGGGTGGAGATGGTGGCAGATTCTGTTTCTTTGGCGGGAGAGAGCGGGGGAGGAAGCGGACGGGGAGAGAGAGAGAGAGAGAGAGTCCGTGGGCCTAGTGACAGACACTTGTTTGTGTTTTTGATGGTGAGGGCTCACCAAAACTGAACAAAAACACCGGGCATCGGGTATGTTTGCTATTATGTGTTGGAATTGTGATATGTTTTGTGATAAGCTTGCGTACGCATCACCATGTCATGTCCACATGAAGATGAGGATTTCCCCGGAATTCCCTAAATCGATTCCACTGCTCTTTGTCTCTCTCTCTCTCTCCCTTTCTCTTTCTCTCTCTTTTTGCACCACACGAGCACATGAAAACTGTCAAGCGCCGCTTAAAAAACATTCGAGAGCAGAGCATTAAGGTGGTCTATGGAAGATATGTTCACGCTTGCATTTAGCTTGTGGTTGCAAGTTTTGTGTTCACCAAAGTCACCAAAATGTCCCACCAGGACATTTTGGCTCAAGAGAGAAGCAGTGAAGTTTTTGAGATTTGAAACTGCGACCCCCTCGAGCGACTTTCTGCACATCACGCAATGGCCTCGCCGATGGAATCAGGCTTCGCAGTCGTTGATGTCCAGGACTGACAGGTTTTGGAGGGTGAGACCCTCGAAGTGGACGTGCCAAGTCCAGACATGGCCACTCTCAATGAGGAGGTGGATCAGGCCTTTGCCCAGCTCCGCGCCGATGAGGAGAGGTGCTTGGGACCCCCACCTCGGTGGGGGGCGCAACTTGCTGCGCTGGCGGCCCACATGCAGCAGCTGCATCCGAAGTTCGGCTCACCACAGGTGCCGGAACCCTACTGGTGTTCTGGCTCACGGGGGGAGAGGCACCAGAGGTAGCTTCTGCCACTGCCCTGCCACCAGATAATCCAATGACTCAGGCTGCGGAACTGCCTGCGGATGCTCTCATGGCTTCAGCTGCGGAAACTCGTGTCAGAGCCGCGAGAAGCGAATGTGGAAGAGCATAGCGCGACCACATAGCGCAAGCGGCGCGCTTCATCGAGCAAGAGATCCGCAAGTTCCAAGCACGTTTTTGACGACGGCAACCTGCAGCAGCTTGGCATTCACTCGATGAAGAAAACAGCAGTGACGCTGATGGTTCACTTGGTGAGATGGGTGCTAGACAAGGGAGAGCTCAAATCCGCCCGCGCCGAAGGTGCTGAGGCGTTGTATAGGCTTCGAGTACTGCTTCGAGTAAACCGGATGATCAGCTGCTGGATAAACAGCTTAAGCTTTAGCTTGGGGGGGGGGGCTATTTTTGTTTGGGAAATGGTGTGTTTTGAGGTCTTTTGAAGACTGATAAAAATTGATATCGTGTGTATGATTGTCTGTATGGCTTCGAAGGTACACGTTCGCGATGCCGGTTTTGCAGCCCAGGGGAGACTGCATTGTGGACATCGTGGGTGTGTTTGTCCATGTGACCGAGACAGACAAACTGACAGACCGATACAGACAGACATACCGAGACAGACAGACTGAGACCGAGGCTCCGAGAGCACAAGCTGCTGGTTCCCACACCAATATCCAACCACCCCGTATCCTCGTGGGGGTTCTGTGCGAGCGGCTTCCGCCGCAAAGCGGTGTGAATATGTAATTTATATATATAACTACAGGGAGGCCTTCATGAACATGGAGCAGTCCACCACCAACAGGGGAGCTAGGCTTCAAGACCTGGCAGCAGGTGAAGATCAAGTATGGCAAGGCTGACGCCTTGAGCCGCTTGAAGGCAGTGTGAAACAGTGCATGTTTTCGTGCTTAGTTAGCATGTGGGGACCAGCTACCCTGGCATCACTCTGTGTAACGTGTACAGTGCTAACTTACTTGTTCTCGGCAGAGTGCACTTTTGAGTCAAGCTGCGAAAAGAAATTGCTGCCAGCTTTCATTTTGTTTTTTAACATAGAGACAACAAAGAACATTTAGAAAGTTTTAAAAGAGGTTGCAAAGACAACTTTTAGTTTTAAAATAAATTGTGAGCAAAAATTAGTGTTTAACTTTAAGAAGTTAAAATATATTTATTTTTTTCGCGGTATGGATTTAATCGTTTTGGGCTCCGACGCACAGGCTTTCTAAAAACACCCCACGGACCCCACATTTATAGGATACAACAATACATGGTATACGTAAGTAGGAACGAGCCGCTATTTGCAATGCTTCGGCTTGCAGGCTCGATGCTGAAAGCAGCAGCGGCTACACGAGAAGCAGCTCGGACGACGCTGCGGCGGCTCGTCGCAGCCACCTGCCAGTCCAGTGCCAATCATCCCACGTATATGTGGTGCCATTGCTCTTCGACAAGGTGCAAGGATTGTGGATGGAGAGAGCCAGAACGTTCATTGCAAACAGGTTTTCTTGGTAGTGGCATTGGCGGTGGCAGTGGAGGTCCTGACGGCTGCGGCGTGCACTTTTTCAATTTCTCGGATCTTTTAGAGGATGGAGGAAGAGATAAAAATTTTCTGTTGGCTCCTTTGACTGCTTTGGAAGCCTTCTTTGAGAGTCGTATGAGTCGTGTGGTACGGATGGCGGCCGTTCCACAGCTGCGTCTCTGTAGGCGTGGGATGAACAAAGCGTTTTTGCTTAATGGCAACGGGCCACGTCTACATGGAAATCAGCATTCCCGATTTGAAGCGGCGATCGTTGTGCAGGTCAGTGGTATTGGCATTGGGGGTGGCCCGGGCGGTGGAGATGCCGGCGTGGAACTGCGCACCCTGCGCAAAACTCAGCTGTTGAATCGCTGTGCTACCCAAGGTTCCCGCTTGTTGACTTCTGAAGATTCTGCCGCAGTTTACAAATCATCCCCGCCGTTTCAATGTTGAAAATCCAGGCGTTCAGCTTCTCGTCGGACATCGAAACCACCGCCCTTGCCACCCGGCCAGCGTCTAGGTGTGGGTTGCGCCTTGGCGTGCCATTTTCTGAGGGGGTTATGCCTTGCTTATTGCCCGTGTTTTGGCAACAGTGTATGGAGTTCAATCTGGGACACTGATGAAAAGGTCATCACAAACAAGAAGAAAAGCACCACGTTGCAGCTTCATGCAATCAAAGGAGGGGTTTGGATGAAGTGTGCACCCCGGACCTCCACAGCAAGCTCCGGACGCCGGACTCCGCCCGGACGCATCCATCTTCGTCCCCGGCAACCAGTGCCACTTGCTCAAGCAGCGGGCTGAGGCGACTTGGGGCCATTGCAGCTCCGATTGTCGTGTTTCTGAATGCTGTTGCGCGTGTGCATTTGTGGTCTCAATGTTTGCCATTGTTCCTGTTGCTTTTCTTGTTGCTGTTTCTGGTGCATTCATGTTGCTCTTGCTGTTGCTCCAGATCGCAGCGGGCACTCCCGCACCTCAACTGCAAGCTCCAGATCGCGGTGGGCACTCCCAGGCCCCCAGGCATCCATTACGATTTGATGTCAGAACAAGCGTCAGAACGTTTTGTCAATCCGCATGTCCGCCTTTGTCAGGCTAGTGGCCTGTCTTCGTCCAAATCGCCATTGGATCACTCGATGTCGAATATTGTTTCCGAAAACAGCGTCGACTCGGAGGACTCCAGAGGGATGCCTCCGGCCATTCGGTGCTTTGGCACGCCATCGCCTTCGGACACGGAGGCGCGTCGTGTTGGGTACGGTAGTGGCTGGGACAATTGCGCCGTTTTTTTTTTTGGAGGTTGCTGGTAGAGGAGTTCAAAGGGGAAAAATGCATTCACTTAGAACTGTTGTTAAACAATAGTTTGCAACTGCAAGTCTACAACAGCCTGAAAAGATTGCCTGGTCCCGTGCCCCTCTCCTCTTGGCATAGTTGTCATGTGGGCCCTGCGTCAAGCATTTAGTATACATATAGCATACATCTTACAGGTGTTCCAACAATGGGATGCATGAGAGAAATTGACAGTTTCCAATTTGGAACCCCTCCAACCTGCACATTTTTCTGCCTGAACTAAATTCAGCGCGCGTGGTTTCGCTGAAACCGCACGTCCCAAAGGTTTCGCTAGCATGTGCCCGGGTGTGTTTGGTTAAACTCTACAGGGATCCACGTATCTCCTCAAAAAGTACGACTGGGCCCTCCTGGCGCCTACATATTCTCCAATCACCTTCTCAGGTTCGGTATGTGGATCTACAAATAGGGAAATCTGGGAGAACCCCTTTCCGACCCCGATCGGCTGAGTTAGTAGACAGGTTGGATTTTCCTGAACCGAACGTCGAAGGAGTCGGAATGGTACGAGGGTCGGTTTCCCTCTACGTTTTATATACTACTGATACCCGCCCATAGTTCCAACTACCTCCGTTTCGAAGATGGGACAGGGGTGGGAGCCAGGGGGTAAAAACATGTTAAAAACCACCGAAGCTGAGGATATGGGACAGGAGCCTTAGGGCTAATTACAGTACTAACCCCTTATACCGTGGTAGTTATGATCCACCTGTGCACTCGTTTGGGCTACTCTTGACTCAATGCCTGACACTTCCAGGCATTGCCAAGCGAATGCTGGAGCGCTTTCCAGTGGGCTCTGAGGTGTTCTCCAGTGATCGAAGTGTTGCGAGTTTCGTTTGCGGGTGGTTTGATATTCCATATAGGAGTGGAATATGTATACATCCTACATTGACCTCCACATCCTCAAACCACCCTAATGCAGACACATATGATATGAATTTTGGTGTTGGGGGTGGGTGTTTGATGGCTTGTTGGTCGGTGTATATCGTACTTTCATTGTATATATAGATCTTCCAACTGTGCAAAATTTGTGCCTTTTCATCCATAAAACCAGCCAACAGGCAAAACAAATGTCACAGTTGGAAGATCTAGGTATATATGGGATTCTCCACTTCCTACGTCGTGAACATCGGTTTTGGAAGGGGGGCTGGTAGAGAGTGTATCACATCACGGTGGATGCTCGTTGCAACAAAAACAGATATTCCCCACCGAGACTGTTGTGTTCAAATTCCATTTGGAGTGGGTCGAAGAGTAGTGGAGTTGGTAGCTTTTGGGAATGAAAGGGCATGGCATTTTGTTTCTCCCATCAAGATATATAACACCTTGCTGGTGCTTCCTGGTTAAGTGACTGAGGTGAAGGTTGATCCAAGCCCTCCAAACTCCCATCATATGAGGAAGATCCTGACTGGCGCCACGCAAGCTGGGATTTTTGTTGGGGGTGGTTTGGATCCGAAGGAATCTCCACTGCTTGGGGACGCCACCATTCCTGATTCCTTCCTCACCCACGCACGACGGTGCACGACGGAACTGTGGGGTCGGACCCAAACCGTGCGGAACTCGGCACGGCACGCGCCGGACACCACGCGGACCGGTGGGGGGGCTTGTTTTAGACCAGTGGCGAGGAGTCTCGACGCTGTGGAAGGCTCGAGTTTTTGAAAGGTAGAGAAGAGACACCAGAGACACGTTTTAGGCCTGAACTCATAGACGACGGTACGTCGCGTACGTCGGCCTGAAAAAAGAGAGCTGTATTTGATGGTTGATTCCATGATTTTCCCGGATGCTTCATGGGAGTCGCATCAGCATTTGTGGGGCAAGGAAGAATCAGCTTTGCAACATTTTGCAACACTCCTTTGAATCAAGTCGTCAAATGGATCCAAGGCTATAATTATACTATAGATGAAAGAGTAACGTGTTGAAGCAGGAAAATGTGAAATTCTAGTTGCAGACATCAAAGCACTGACTCACACTGACTGCCTGGCTCGCCCAGCGCGTAGCATGCCCAGCTAGGAGCTAGTCCTGAGACTGGGATCACACCTCTTTTGCCCTGGGATCAGAACACAGTCGTCAGCAATGCGAGATCGTTCATCCGGCGCGGCTGGGCGCGGCGGCTGGACAGGCACTGGGAGTGGATGGACGCCATAGGTGTAAGTGATGATGTTCACTTGACTTCCAGTATGTAGCTGCTTGTATGATCTTGTAATATATCTTGTATGAGTATGCTACACAATGTGTGTTCCAGATATTTCCAGATAGTTCAGACATTTGCTTGGAGAGGTTGTACCTGACAAGACTTACTTGTGGCCTCCAAGTCGGCGTTTTGTTCGGTCGAGCAGCGAGCTTTTGGCACTCAGATTAGAAAGTCCTGGAAATTAACGGATTCGGCACTCAGATTAGAAAGTCCTGGAAATTAACGGATTCGGCCATTCTCATTGACTCACTCAGCGACTGTTTGAAGCTGTTATTTTCCACTTAGTAACGTACTGCTAGGGAGGTTCTGCCAATTGTAGAGGCTTTGAAAAGCAGTTTGTAGAATTTGTACACTCACTAGCATGGAAGTGGAAAATGGCCCCTTGGAAGACGTGGTCCTCCACTTCCATGTTGGTAAGTCGGAGTGTACATGTTTGTTTGGCAGAATTCTGTGTCCATGTGAGTTCATGTTTAGTTCCCTGGTGGATCAGGAGATGGGAGATTCCGAGATGGTACCCTGAGTGTGAATCCATCACCTTTTTGGAACGAATGATGAGCCAGCCCACAGTTTTTTGTTCAAAAATGTTCAATGGTCAAAGGGTCACTTGGAAGAAGCAGGTTTAAAGCTTCCAACTTACTTAAAAGTCACAACTCCTTCGTAAAACCGTTGTTTGGTCACCCACCTGCGCGCGGTCTCAGTCGACTATCCGACGCGTCGTCTCGCGTCGTCTCGCGTCTTTCCGAGCCACCGATTTGTTCAGTGGGGGGGTTCCAGTGGTTGTATAAGAACCATGAAATCATCGGACGGCGTTCTTCCCGGCGGCTGGGGAGATCACGGCTTCGCATGGTGTGCCATACAATCAAACAACACTGGTGGTCTGGTGTTGGGCCTTGGGATGTTTCTCTTGCTAGCCAGGACGGGTAGAGGTGGACGCGTATTCAACGGCAGAAAACCCACAGGGTCCGGGGTGTGGAAACGGTCCGGGCGGAGGTGGACGCGCTACTGTGGAAGCAGCTGCTACGCGCATGTGACCCGCTTCACTCTCTGATGTTCCGCGGATCGTTCGGACCGACTCCGAGAAATCCCAGAAACGAGGTGTCCTCGTCCCCGTCCTCTCATGAGGGACGAGGCCACCGAGAGGGTGTGTGTGGGGTGTCTCGTGGCGATAGGAGGCCGTTCATTTGGTATATTCTTTGGGCCACTTTGGCCACTCTGGAAGACTAAGACAACCTAAAGAAGACTAAGAATCCTTTGACATGATTCCTGAACGAGGGCTCCAAATGGAAGGACGCGCCTTTAATCCTTTTGTTCGGCCCATCACGCCATGCACCCCGTGCACCAGACTGGGATGGAAGGGGTTTTCTCCACCTACAGTAGTGTTTCCGAAAGGAGTGTTCAATGGAGACCTATAAAAAGTGTGGGGTGGTCCATTGGCCGTGGGCAGAAGCTGGTAAAGGCCTGGGTGCTTTTGGGGGATTGAAATAGCTGTGAACACTGAAAAGTGGACACCTGTCCCAACTGATTCAGAGGTTCCCATGGCTGAGGTTGTGTCGAGGGCCGAGGGTCGTGCAACGGGACAAGTTGTGGAATAGACTTCCAGCGTGCTTCAGTCTCCTTACTTTTGGTTCAAGGAAGAATATCCTGTACCATCCAGAACCACTAAAGCTCCGTACATATGGTGGTCCCTAGCCGATGGGGTCCAGATTGCAAGGTTGGGTCAATAATTTGAACTTTGCAAAGAGGTCTCAGTTTGGTTTCGTCTCTTCACTTCGATCATGTCGTGGCCGTTGGGTGAGTCTCTGGGCGCCAATTCCCCATGTCGATCATGGAGAGGGGTGCCAGGCCCCTGGACGCCTGCCATCTGAAGCATCTGAACCACCTCATTCGTCGGACATTCGTTGGACAGTCAGGCCCACTACCCCCTACCCCTGGCAGTGAAGGGGATGAGCTAGAGTGTGGACCGTGAAAACAGACAAAAAAACAATAAAATATACAAACAATCTGGACAACTCCGCAAAGACTTTGCAGCTGCTTGTGTTGGAGGGAGCAACAAGCTGGGACCATGATATTCGGCACCAAGAAAGGACCAAGATCATCCTATGCACCCAGTTGATCCCAGTTGCTAGCTTGAAAGAAAGCAGTCAAACTTGGTGTTTGGAACCAAGTTCGATGTCATCCCCAGAAGCTGGAAGGCATGGGGACCGGACCGGTCACCCGGGCGACGGTCGCCCGGACCGGTCGCTGGTCCTCTTTGGTCGGTGCAGGCGAGCGAGGCCATTCCAAGCTTGGAATCGCTTCTGAGGTGGGCAAGAATGAATGAGTGGACCGTGGAGAGGAAGAGGAACTGGAAGAGTTCGAGATTTTTTTTGCAGAAATACACAGGATGCTGAAGATTGGGTGATTCTTTGTGGGGGGGTTGTTTGGAGCTTCAGCTTCACACACCACATCACTTTGCGGAATTCCAAAGCGGTTGATGTCCAAGATGTCCTACTGATCCAGGCAGCCAACAGGAAAAGTGACGGTGTTTTGGGGAGTGAGAAGAAAGAAGATATGGGGTAGCATAGGGTACCTTAAACAAGTTGTCCAGGTGATATGTGAGTGTGTGGAGCACACTTATTGTTTGTTTGTATTGATTTGATTTGTTTTGTTTTTGTGTTTGTTTGTTTGTTTGTTTGTTTGTTGGTTGGTTGGTTGGTTGGTTGGTTGGCTGTAACATGAATTTTGCTACGTGTTTGAGCATTGTGCTGGAGAAGACCACTCAACATGAGTGTTCCAGGAGTTGGTGTTCGCAAAACAAGACGTGTTTTGTTTTTTGGTAGGTTGAACTGAGTTCATGGGTATCAACAGTGACCCACCGGCTGGTATTTGTAGTTCACAGTCTGGTGGGGGTGCAGTGTGGGAACATTGGCAAATACAAAACCAATAACCTTCAAAGTTTGGTCCAAAGGAGCTCCACGTGAAGAAAAAACCAAACAAATTTCAAGGGGCTAGGGGCTTTGAAGGCTGGGACTCTGCGAAGAGGGTGGTCGGGTCCACCGGTATATTGCAATAACAATCTATAGCAATATAACAAAACCAGTATAATGACTGTGTTGCTGGATCATTTTTTACGCCTGGCTGTCGCGGCAATCAACATGTCCACGTTGTTTGTACACAGGCTTTGTGGCGATAGAATGCCAAACGCAAAAGAAAGTTCAACAACTTCAGCTGTCTAAAGTTTAGAGAGATTTGTTTACGGGTTTTGCACACATCCGTTCCGAGTGTCAGGTTTTGGTTGTCGCAGGTTCTCCTGAGTTTGGGTTCTGTTCCCACAAATTCTTGGTAGGAGGAGCTTTTGATGCGATGTTTGCTCACGTGTCCAGGACACAGCATATTCTCAATGACACGCCTGTTCCAGAAGCCATATGTTGCTTGATGGTTTCGCCTTTCATCGAATAAAGCTTAAGCTTCCGCCAAACTCTTCACAAAGTTCTCAACTGCTGCTGCGGAGTTTCCCATAGACCACAATGCCTCTTCACAAAGTCAATGGGTTCAATGTCCAGTCCCCACCGCCGTCGCGGGAACGGGCCCGACTCGATCTCGCCGTTTCGGAGTGAGTTCGACCCTCTCTTCCGGACACGAAAGGGTCGAGTCATGTGAGGGGAACCAGAAATGGTTCACCGGAGCCGCTGCGCTGAATCTGTGGATTTGTTCGTTCGCTTTAGCTCTTCCTTTTGCGTTGTTTTCGTATAATTCATATTTATTGATACGTCAGCTTCCCCAGGCACACTCAATGCCCATCTTATTGTAGAGGGAGTATGATTGATCACAATTCATTGGGAAAGCTGCAGCTTACCGTAAGTAGGCTATCATAGTTTATCACAATTAATTGTTTGCTCGCTGCGTTTGTTGGCTCTTTTGGGATTTGCTGAACATACAGTCCTTGTTGTGGTGTTCATCCTGTAACCAATCAAAAAAGCATCGCGTTTCTCAACTGCAAAACGCACCAGGGAGCTGGATCGCTTGGAGCACCAGGAGGCCAAGGCGGCCGGCAAAGGACCAACATGCTCGGTTTTCGTCTCTCCGTCGAGAAGGCGGGAGGATCGCAGTAACTGCTGAGACTGCAGCAAGAGACCCAAAATACATCAAGGAACACGTGAAGAAGGCTCTTAAGATGTGTGCTTTTGGGGGGGTTGAAGAACATCGCACTGCCAGAACTTGGCCGACCTCAGTGCCGACCTCCTTTCTCTGAGCTTACGGGGATTTTTGACATGACCACGGCGCAATTGCACAAAATCTTTCGTGAGCATTGTAAGTGGGGCCGTTCACCCAACAAAAGAGAATGGACTACTGCCTGAGGAATCTACCACCATCTTTTGAAGAGACAGTATAGAGGATATGCATGTTCTCCATCAAGCACCCCTTTCCAAGAGCATCAAGAGCCATCTCATCCGGGATGGTCAAGCTGATGGGGCGTGCCTAATTAAGCTGCCTTGACCAAAATCATGACGGCTTACTTTGAAGCGCATGTTGTTCCAGAGGGAGCTGACAAGATAGATTCGGAAGTCATGATGCGGTTCATTTACAGCTATGCAGATTCCCAAAGACCAGCTAGAGCGGCCACTGTAGCAGCTGATGCCCATCAAAAGCTGCATCAGCTGGAAGCCAAGATTTGCCACCAAATGTCAATGCTGGCAAGAGCTGCCGGTGGCACGGAGAACAACTCTTTGCGCAATCTCACTTTGTTTCTCGCTCCAAAGAGATTGGCTAATAAACAAGCGGCTGTCACAAGCAATGGACACAACGTGTCATCAAAACAAGTCCTCTTGTTGAGAGACTGAAAGCAGAACTTGACAGTGCCGATTGCGCGAACAGACACTGCGCATGTTTTATGGAACCAGTCGGATGGAGATTACTCTTTGGGGTTGCTTGATTTACTGTCCCAAAGGACTGGCCGAGATCTGCAAAGAAAAAGCATCATTGTTCTGTCATCCATTATTGACAATGCTTTGGTTTCAAACGTGTTGTTGCAGCAAGTGGCCGAGTATATTGACAGTTTTCACAAAGTTAAGCAAGTCTTGGCTTGGTCAGATTGCGGGCCAGCACACAGATGCTTGGAAGACGGCAATTGGGTGGAGGCTGCAACTCCTGGACATGCAGGTGTGTTTGAAAAGTGTGGCAAAGGAGGGGTTGATGGATTGCTTGGACAAGTGGAACGTTGGCTCAAAAACTATAGCTCCAGAAGCCTGGAAGTCAAATAAACAGCATCGATACTGAGATGGACCGAGTGCTCAAAGTTGAAGCTGCCAGGGCCTCCAAACAAAGTTCTTAAATGTAATACGTAGTGGGGATAGAATGGAAGCCAGCTGGTGGTGGGGTTTTGCCACACGCTGAGTTTCAGATGAGCAAAATGTGCTGTTTGTCTACAGTTCTTGCGTAGCAACCCTCGCCTACAAATTCGCAATACTGCCTTGGTGGATCGCGCCTTCTGATGCCACCCTGCGGCTAAAACGTATCTCAAAGTGGAATAGTCCAAAATTGAAGACACAACTTGTAGAACATGTTTTTCCAACACTCGCTGGGACAGGAAGCCGCCCAAAAACGGCGAAACCGATGCGATTCATTCGGCGCTATGAGGTGCACAGGCGGAGGGAGATGCCCATGCCAAACTTGGAGGCAAACCTTTTTAAGGCAAGCAAGTGAACTGCTACGTACGTTGAATCGAAGGCAGGTGTGGGCCCAGAAGCAATCAATCTGTGAACACAAGTATAGTAGCAGTCAGCTCCTCCATAAGTTTCACATGAAATTCAGAGGTTTTGCTGATGGATATAGCGCTTGGAAGAGAAAGGAAGCGGCAACCAACAAACACAGACATGAAACCACGCAAACAAAAGTTCATTGAACATACTTGAAAAGAACATGTCGTCTGACTGTGTTCGGTTCTTACGGAGAATGTATACATGTTTGATCATGAAAATAATGTATATCATACTTGTATTGTATACATATATATATAACTATTATATTCTGGGGGTTGTCCAGAATGTAGTATACATTATAATGTCTATATTTTGGACCCCCGGATGGCGCGAACACTGTGCTCCTCTCCCAGGACGTACAGGTCCAGCCGTGGTGCTTGGCTCGAAGCCTCAACTTCACAGGCCGCCCTGTTCGGGTCATGGAGGGGTCGGAGGGTCGCTGGGTGGCATGGAGACGGAACAGGTCCTCGGTCCAGCCAATGCAGAACCAGGCCCCCAGACCTTCCAGACGGGGCGTTTCAAGAAGTCGTAGAATGCCATTTCGTTTGGGAAAGGCAAACAAAAATCAGCCAACATGTTCACACCAAGATCTCAGTGGAATTCAACCTGTTTTGAGATTTGGAGGCTTTCCATGGGGCACTTTCTTCCGACGAGACTCGCGGGCGCTCCAGGCCCCGCGACGATGGGGCGCCGAGAACGGCAGCGCCGTCGTGGTCGCAGCGAGGGCGGCCGAAGCCCAGCGGTGGAGGCGAAGCCGAGCAGCGGTGGGTGCTGATCAGCGGCTGAGTTCGGCGTTGAGTGGTTTTGAGCAGCACTATAGTCATAATTAGGGTGGTTTAGAGCACCCCCCTGAAGATGTATAATTGTTCCATCTAATAACCCATCGGGTGGTTTTTAGATGTTTCGTGAGTGGATGACGGACACCTCGATTCTCCAATACGCACCTTGAACTGCTGGTAGACATGCCTGTGTCGGAAGGCATGGCAAGTGGCTCATTTCGTTGGCGTTATTGTTTGCAACAAAAAAGCAGCCCGCGGCTGCTTCTGCTTGGTTGGTTGCTTCTGCTTGGTTGCAGGTTGGGGTGTCGAGGTGAGGTGGTCTTGCTGGAATTCCAGTCTATAGTCTGGGTCAATGAGGTGAATGCCTGGTTAATTTGATGAAGGCAGTGGCAGTTGTGCTCAATTCCAGTCTAGCTGGTGTGATCCCTGCAGAAAAGAGAACTAGCGTGTTTGACCCAGTGATCTGATCAAGACCTCTATGTATGCCCAAGAAGAATCAGGGCTTTTGTATGCAGTTTCAGGATTTGTTTGTCCATTGTGTTTTTTGTTATTCGTCTCTCCTCTCTTTTCACTTATCCAGATATGTCCGCAACCATTGTTGGAGTCCTTTTGCTGCCTTACCAACCTCCCAGTTTCACGCACCTGCCAGGGAGCAGCAGCCGCGCCAAAGAAGGCGGGACTGAAGTTCCAAAGGGGTGCCTAGCGCGTCGAAGCGGAAGTCTGGTCAGAAGCAAACTGTGGTTTGAAATGTTTTAAAGTTTCGGTTTTGACATGTCCGCATATTTGCCCACAGGTTTATTTATGTTGGATGAGCAGGCGGGAATTGCAGGTACCAGGACATGGACAAATACAAGTAGGTCGAGCACGGGCCTGTGACGTGACTATTCCAGTATTCCAGAAGGCTAAGTGTTAGGATCCCAATCCTGTGAAGCATTGCTTTGTGCTCAATGAGCGATCCTCGTCGTCGTCTTCGTCGTCGTCATCATCATCATCATCAATGTGTTGTTTACAAAATTGTCGCAATTGTCGGCTAGATCCAAAGGTGAACTTTTCATGCTAATTATGTTTTTCTCGTGGGTAGCGCAGGAAGCTGCTCCCAACCACTGGCTGGTTATTGGAAGGTCACCCAGCCGCAACTCTTTGGTCGGTGTCAGCTGGGTGGAAGATGGGGGATTTGGGACACCCAGCAAGCACACAAACGCAAAAATAAGTCTAGACACTGTTTAGACCTTGAGATCTTCTTTATCCCAGACTCTCCATGTATGCCGTATATGCTTACATTGGGGTGGTTTTGGGGGTCAATGTTGGCATACATGGAGTGTCTGGGTAATTTTTACAGGGCACTCCTGAAACATCAAAACATACGATCCGATCCGCCACGTGTTCCCCCTCGCAGGCGGCGTCTTTGCCGGGCTCTTTCGAGAGGCGCGGGCGGGCTCCCTTTACGCGTCCGCGGCGGGTCGCGGTAAGTGGCCAAGGATTTTCATAAAGGAAACTTACTTGGGAACATGTGTTACTTGCCACGGAAACCAGTGTCATTCCAAACAGTAGTATTATTCCTACTTTTTTTAGTGTGTTTTCGCTTCTTTTGGTGATCTTTTGTTTGTGTGCTTTTGTGTTTTTTTCTTTCAGACTTACCATATGTAGACTTTTCAGAAACATGTGTTCTTTTTTAATGTGTTTGTGTTTTTTTTCCATCACTTGCTTTTTTTGTTCAAAGCAGAGAAGATGAAACATCGATTCCTTTGCCAAACATTGGACTCCACGAATCTTTGTGCGGCCAAGCACCTCTCTACATGGTGTTTTCACTGGACTTGGGTAATGGATGGTATGGATATACCATGAGATACCATTTGGGCCAACAAATTCCTTACAACCACCTCTATCTATAGTTCAGTTTTGACAGTCAATCGCACATTCTGGAGGTTTGACTGTCCATACCGCACTGCCGCACTCGGATTTTGTAGCGAAATGGATTGGGATGACCCTCATACCATCCAAGATCATCCAAGATCATCCAAACTATCCCAGACTTAGAACTCTTGGTTTCCAATGTTTCCAAAGGAAAAGACATTTCCGGGCCAACCTCACGGACCTTGTTAGAATGCCTGCATCCCATCCGACCCCCGAACCCCAGGAAGCACTCCCGTGCGCACCGTGCGCGAACGCAGCCGCCCACCCAGCGGAGAACGCGAACGCAGCGGAGACGTGGCTTCACATGGGTGTCGGGGCATCACGGGTGAAGAAGGTGTGAAGGTCAGTAGTGGCTTCAGGTTGAGGATATTTTGCTTTGTAATTGAGGGTTTTAAGCTCTTTGAGTTTAGTCTTTGCAACTTGGGGTATTCCATTGGTGACCCTTTGGAATAATGTAGAATGGTTGTGCTACTAATCTCTTGCTGCAGAACAATCGGTCGCACCAACTCATCCAATTCACTGCGCCCTGAGTGGGTGCAATTCATTCATCGACACTGCACAGAAAGTCATCAGCTCAGTAAACCGGCAACACCCGTTTGCTTTGTCAGATACGTCGCTATCATCAACCTTCCAGGGTCGTTCTCAAGGGATGAGGTCGTTCGGGTCTACCATGAGGACATGATGGTCGTTCTTCAGAACTGCATGAAGAAAGGGCCTAACGCGGAATCCATGAGATCTCCGCGGAATCCATGAGATCTCCGGATCATGTCAGTCATCATTTTATGGGAGCTTCCGTCTTCTTCTACTGCGTTCTATTGCTGGCAGTCCATGGCAGTCTGGAAGATTTTGTTAGGACATGGCAACAATGAAAAACCCTAAGCAGACCGTCTAGGCCTGTTCAGACTTCCGGCCCTGCCCTTGTGAGTTTGACCTTTGCCAGGCGGCATTGACGCACATACTACAGCACTTTACTTACTACTTTATATCTTTATATATGTAGTACATTTGTCCGAAGAGATCCAAAGATCCTGTAGAGGATGCCATAGACAGACTCCAACTCACTTCCAAACAAGGACTCATTCAACTTGCAACTTCAATCCTTCGGCGTTTCTGACCGGCTTCCCCACTCTACGTGGCGGGGTTCCGACCCGTTCCGATCCCTTCGTTCTCCGTTGAACCGGTCAGGCACGTTCGACCTCAACAGCACGGGGTCCAAGGGGTCCACCCAACAGCGCTGCTGGTCAGCCGAGGAAGGCCCGGGAGCCCCAGCCACGCGTCACACATCGTCAGACAGGCGTTGGGCCGGCCTCAGGACTCGCTTTCGTCGAAGGCTCCGCGTAGTTTCTGGGCCGGCGTTTTTGAGGGAGGTTCGGGAGAAAAGACATGAAATCAGTTTTGTGTCTTTCGTATGGAGGTGAGTTTGGCTCACTAGTTGCACTGTGTTTTTGTTTTGAATGTGTTTGTTGGAAGGGGTTCGGTTTGCACTTGGAATTGACGCATGTGTTTCACAAGCAGATCGAGAGGCTATGTCAGTCTAGCATAGCATTCTTACCTATACATTGTTGCAAATAAGATTCACTAAAATGAATTCAACCACCAGAGCTTTGCTTACCCCATTTCTATAGATCTACCACCAATCCGGTCCACTAATCATGCCCAGCACAATCATCAGAGTTCTTTGGATGCCAAGAAGCACAATGAGGACTTTTTTTTCATGGAAGCCACGGTCAGTCTGCCACCGAGGCCGCCGAGGAAGCCGCTGCCCGGCCTGTGGCCGCCGTGAAGTTGGGGGAGCGCGCACGACTGGGAGGCAGGAGATGGGCAGGAGGGGTTGAGTGGTACACAGTGGGGTGAGGTGAGGTGTGTACGGAGGTGAGGTCCTCGGGTTCAGGTGTGGCGGATTGGAGTCAGAGTTGACCTTTTTGAGGGTTCCAATGTGTTTGGAAGTAGCTTTACTTGTCGCTTTACAACAGAAATCAAGTGGCCTTGTGTCCCTTTTGTGCTGGGACTCCAAAGTCTTCATCGAATTTACAGGACTTGGATCTTGCATCCAATTGAATCCTACACCGAGAAACAAAGTTTAGGTTGAGCACTCGTTATGTCACAAAGACAACTTAAGCACGTTTAACCTATCGTTCCAAGTTTTCAACCGGAGAGGCGCTATCACGAGATACCCCACGTCATGCATGACGGTATGAATTAAACATAGACCCAGACACTCCATGGGACTGCCATATATGCCTACATTGACCCCCAAAACCACCCCTGGCCTGATCGGCATATATGACAGACATGGAGTGTCTGGGAAATGCATTTGGCATGCATTTGCCACCGCCCAACCCTGGCCAGCCAGGACTACACGGCTTCCTTTCAGAGCTGAACGGTCGACCATGCGTGCTCGAGGCGGGTCGTCCGCGTGCGAGGTGGGTCTGTGCGTCCGGTCAGTGTGAAGTGGGTGTGGTTTAGATGGTCAGGACTAAGTAGGACTGAGAAGGATTGGCAAGTGCAAAGGTACAAACATGTTCAAACCCCGATTGAAAAGGTCAAAACATCACAGTATTTCAATGCTAGGGTATGAGATGTTGCTCTCCCAACAACAGATGGGAATAAAAGCATCCCTTTGGTGTGGCGATTTGCTTGAACAGAGCTGGAGAGGATAAAAACTTTGAGCTCCGACTCTGAAGAATCGTTGGACTAGAAGCTCTTGATTGTGAGCACGGGAACGTCAGGGAAGCTGTGGCTGACCCTGTTTTCTTTTGTTTGTGAGAATCCTCAGATGCTGAGAAGGGCCTCGTCACTGGTCAGTTCGTCGAATTTCCCTCACCCTGCCGCGGGATGTGTTTCTTTGTTCATTCCCTCCAGACATGCCAAGAAGGCATGCAGGTCTCACAAGATTCAGTCATCCCTACAAGGCACTCGACAAAAACGGAGGAGGAGAACACATATAAGAAAACACATGTGTTCCCCCCCTCCGCATGCTTTGTTTCGGTCCGAACATCCGCCGTGCACCGCGGCCTTTGGTTTTCACCGTTCGGCGGCCGGTGCAGGGAAGTGACCCGGAGACGGGGCAGGGCTATGTGCGACTGGTGGGTGGCTTCGTTGAGGCGGAGCTTTAGAAACCGGTGAGTGGGTGGGGCAAACGTTCAGATGAGGCAAGCATGTTCTGGCCTATAGCCAATTTCATTTTCTGGCCTATAGCCTATTTCATCCTATTTCGGCCAGAAGATATGTTTACTTGTCATCCACTTGCCAACTCTCCTTCTAGGTCAGGAGCAGCTGTACGGCGGTACGGCGGTACGGCATAAGTTCTATGAGACTCAAATTACTAGCGCTCGGTGGCAGTACGGAATTCTATGTTAATTTGCCCTCAGCCCTCATCCTGTTTCACGAAGCCTTTCTTCAGATCCTATGTGAAACAAATCTATGATCTGACAGGACATCCAAGCAGCTGTCGCGGCATGTTTGTAGGATTGGGGTAAGAGGATATCAACCGGCCTAGCCTGACAGTGGAACCACTCAACAGTTGAACTATTCATTGTTGGAGTTACCCAATTGCTCTCAGACGTTTTAAGTGAAGAGGTGATGGTTTTCTGGTCGACTACTCCAAAGAAAGGACTCCAATCGAGGTTCTGACTGATATATCCCAGACACTCCATGTATGCCATATATGCCTACATTGACCCAAAACCACCCCAATGTAGGCATATATGACAGACATGGAGTGTCTGAGTATAGAAAAGATCCGAAGGGCTGGCCAGGCTGGAAAATTAATCTTTACGAGTGTATACTTGTCTTTGTTTTCCCCATAGAGTCACCATCGAATCATTTGATGCCATCCGCTCAAGCCCATCCCAACTCAAGATGTATAATGAATATGATATACAACGGCTTCCGGGAACCGCTGAACGGCTCCATGGCTGGACTCCACCCAACGGCCCCTCGTGCCCCTCCGCCAGACCGTGCCCCTCGAGAACGTCCTGCCCGAGTGAGAGGAAGCTGGAGCCCGCGTAGTCTGCTGCAGCTGCCGGAGCTTGATGTGGTGAAAAAAGGGGCGGCGAATGTTCAGCCGAGCTTGAGCGTAGGGACATCTTGCTGGGCCTGTCCCATGGATAAAAATAGGATCAAAAAGGATCTAATAATCTAATATACGCCCTGGAAGATTAACATGGAACCTGAAAACGATTGGGTTGTAGAGGAAAATAGTCTGTCAAAGGTCCATTGAATCTTCCCTGGTGTAACTAATACCTTTGAACACATGTTGTCATGTTTTTGTGTCATGCTGTTGCTTTAGCCTCCAGTCGGATCCTGAGAGCTACCCCAAACCATGAGCCCCCCCACGCCCCACGCCCGCCTTTCACCCGATGAACACCACGGTGAGGAGACGCTACTTGACAATCATTTTGGGGAAGAGATCGTCCGAGTACTTCAAAGATCTTCAAACATTTCAAGGTTCTGTTGGTCCGTTCGTCCAGCGGTCAGATGGCGAGTAGGGAGGAAAACGACTGTTCCGGAACTTATTATATTTTGCACGAAAGAAACATCGACTGCGAATGACCGATAGCTAGGTTAGTTCTTTGTGCGGATCTGTTTGTCCATGTTTGTGTGGATGACGGGGGTAGAACAGTCTCGCTGCCGATCCGGTTCCAGTCAGGTCCCGCCCTGCGACATGTTCAGACCAGAGATCACCCTTGGGGTGCTCCAGGATCGAACGAAGAGTGAGGGAGGTGGGTCCCCCCAAAGAAACAACGAGGATTGAGAGCTTATAGGGAGTAAGAGCCCCTTTTCCACACATGAGTCACATGAGGTCCATAGAAAACTTGGCCTTCCTGACTTGCCACCTACTTGAAGTGGCCACTGGAAGACCGAGATCGGAGATCCACCAAGTTTGATCTTCACGACACAGAACCCTCACCCGGTGGAAGGCAACAGAACCCCCCAAAATCCCCTTTGCGGTGGAACGACAATATATACTAAAGCCCAGCAGCCCATCGATTGAAGAGATCGTCGTTTAAACATGGTGTTTATATAATTACTTTTCCCAGGCACTCCATGTAAAATGCAATATTTACCTACATTGACCCCGGCTCAACCACCCCCAGTGTAGGCGAACTATGCCATATATGCGAATGTGTCAGGGTTTGGTCTTGGGGCAACTTTGTTTGTTTTCTCTCACTACAGAACTGTTCACGAGTCTTTGGCCAGGAAGGTGTGGATGTGACCGAGGCTGGATGTGAAAGAGGGAAGCAGCTGTGTTGGGTTGCAGGAGTATCCTAACCCCCTACAGCAAGATAATTGAAATCCTATGACAAACTCATTCAAGAAGGGAGAAGAGGCCTGAACTGTTCATCCTGAGAGGTGGCGCTTTGATTTCACAGGCCTGTTCCTGACTGACATCAAGTCCCCAGTTCCTTTGTCTTTCAGAGGTCCACCATCGTTTCAGAGAGCAACGAAGCTTGGTGCGTCTCTATCATGGGCCCTGCCAAGTGATGGGACCATCCAAAGCCACAGATTGATGCGAAAACACCCTTTTCACTCGCCGAGACGGTGCGTTGAGACGGTGCTTGCGTTGCTTTCCGAAACCCGGAGAGGTGGACCTGCATCGCTGGACCTTGCAGGTTAGGTGCATTGAGGTGAAAAATCACCTGGTGGTCAATCACCTGGTGGTCAATCACCTGATCATGCTTCCGGTGATGTTTTCTTTTGGATCTAGGGGTGAATCGACTTCTGGGGGAAGTTGTTGCGATGTGTTCACGGCTTCCTCGACAGCAAATCCAAGCTCGGGGTTTTGTAGTTTGGACGCGGATCCATCTGAAGCTTGGTGGAGCTTGGTGCGTATTGGAGGCCAATTGGGGATACACCACGGCCAACATCAACAAGCAAGGCATCCTTTTAAAAGGAGGGGATCCTTCTAAAGCGTTTCAAGTTGGTTGGGAGCATGTTCTATGGTTGCGGGGTGGGTCAGTTGAGGCATCATGATGAGTGAAGGGGGGCATGGGCGCTGGGTTTGGCTTGAACCTACCTGGCAGTTGTTCTGTTTCGCACCTTTGTTGGAACCTGGATTCTGCAGAGGCGTGTTCTTTTCGAGACTTCTACCAGATCTGCTCAGGTTCATCCGCGGAAGGGGGAGACCTTGCTACACTTGCTTTGCCAATGCAGGTGCCTCGCAACATCAGAGTGGCATCGAGAGTGGAATCGGATCAAACCCTGAGGCTTTTAGTAGGCACATGGTGAGCAATTCTGTGGACATGAAGGAAAGATCGTGGAGTCAAGACTAGGAGTTCTTTGGGCGGCTCCCAGAGGTGCCTGAGCTATGACCATGGGGGGCCCCACAGCATCCACTAACCAGTGGGAACACTTCTACCAGGCAACACTGGCCGTAGCGCCGAGCTCGCTCGTGCAGCTCATCGCTCATCCACTCTTACCCGAAGAGAAAGCAATCTTACGGGATTTGGGCGCCTATTGAATTATATATATAGGGTAAAACCTCCCAGGCAACGATCTGCTGGAAGAAGGAGTCAGACCAGTCTAGCCATTATTAGCCACTGGGGTGATCGCTTGTCTCCCGATTGAATATGACTAAATTACATCCCATTGGCTGTGGATCAAGACCTGGACCCCTAAACCAGGAGTCCCCCAGCAGCTAAGTTGACATTTTTGTTGATCAGTTCTGTGATGAATTGATGCCTGGAACATCCAGCCCACATCCGGTCTTGAAAAGGTCTGCCACCAGCAGCTTGGAGCTGAGTGAAAATCTTAGAAGCCCTTGCCAGGTGGCACTAGTCTCTTTCCCAAACCAAATTCAAAATTCATTGCCAGGGGGAGGAAGCTGCAACTCTTCAGTTTCCGAGACCGACTTTTTTTCCACATGATTTAGTTATTTCGCACAACAAAAAGTGGGGGTACTTCAGCCAACCCTCCCCTTAAGGCACTTCTGACGCCTTAAAGTGATCATGTTCCCAGGAGCTTCTCAGCAGAGACGGCGGGCATCTTTAAAGAAGTCGCCGAAGCCATGCCAGTGTCGCTCTTTACCAAGGCGTTGGGCATGCTGGGCTGATCTCCGTTGATGGAATTCCATTGAGGGACTTTCCGGAACTTCAGACTGGCTTGGACTCACATCATATTCATATATTCAGTCAGCGTAATACTGCAAGGCTTTAGGCCCTTAAGGCCTTCTATCCTTCATTCACCGCATGCTAGTGTGGTGTATCTACCCCTACCGCCGCGTGCATCGCCAACTCAACCCCCTGCTGAACTCATGCCACGTCACATTACTCAACTCACATCAACTCAACTCACCCAGATCGACTTCTCTCACCCGACTCAATTCCGCGGCTTGCTGTTGCTGCTGGTCCGCGCTGGTTCACCCTGGTCGTCGCCGCCCCCCCCGGCTGGCTTCCGTGACATTGCCTAGGTTCAGAGAGATTGTTTTGTTCCAAACTTTGGGATCGTACTTCTGGTGAGAAGAGTGCCAGAGTCCCTTGGTTTTTTGGAAGCTGTGCAGATCGCAATAATAGAAATCTCATCGCTCGTACCGCACGTAAACAGGTCTCCTACTCCAGGGCACCCGGACAGGAAGTGCTAGGTAGCAAAGGGTTGGGTTTGTTTGAAGGAACGATCCTTTGGGCACCACCGACCAGCTCCAGAAGCTGATTATTTGGAGTAAGCCAGTCACCTGCAGTTAGGTGAGGTAGACTGCTTTCGGCCCTCCAAGGTTCCGAATATCAGACACTTCACCTAGGTATTCCTAGGACCTGGATAAACATTGATGTGTGCGGTGGGGGCCCAGGTAGTTTCAACCATTTTCAACGCAAAAACCCGTGCAAGCCCACCCTGACGCCTAGAAACCCAACCTCTCAGAGGCTCATGCAAATCCAACTGCAAAATAAGTAGTTTGGAATAGCCTTTGAAGAACTCGGCAGGTGAATATGGCCGGACAAAGTTTCTTGGCCTTCGCTGCTGCCACGCAGAACTTTTGGGTGCCGGAGCGCCGCGCGCACGTCCTGACCAGGGGGACTTGCTAGTCAGTGCAAGAGGGGAGCACGGAAAATCAGTGGTTTCCACATCCACCATGGGTTAGTGGACAGCTTGCTTGTGGACAGCTTGCTTCATATCGTATTTGGCTCTCGTCCCAGGGGTAAATCCATTCATTACTGGTATGGCCTGGTGGTTTTGCTAGTGATGCTCATGACCTTGCAGCAGCCTCGTTTCCATGCAGCAGCTTGTCAATACGTGAACCTTTGGCGAACCATGCTTTCCATGCCTTCGAGAGATGTACACTTAACTTTTAGCATGAAGTGTACACTTCACACTTTTTACACTCTTGTACTTTTACACTTCGGAGATGTCTCGGTAGATATGTTGTAATTGTAGTTATATAGTTATATATATTTTTTAACATGGTCTCTTTTGTTTCCGTTTGGATGATAGAAGGCTGGTCGACCTTCAAACACATCTTGCATGACGGGCATGCGTTTGACAGGTGTTCAATTCTTGTTTGTCTGCCAGGTGTTGAGGCACATCAGCCTGAGATACCCTGAGCAGATGAAAGTCAGGAGCTGAGATTGGGCAGGAATTTTGAGGTTGGGTGGACTACAATAATGCTAAAAGTCTTTTTTGGTGTGAACTGCAGCTGCAGACTTTGTGAGTGCCAGCTCATAGAGTTTCATCAGAAAATTTCCAGAATGTCTCATAGAAATGGACTTTATACATATTGATTATAAATAATGTATATATATATATATTAGACCAAACAATAAGTGTATATATATACATATCGGTGCATTGACCCACCACAATGAGCTTGCAATGACAAAAACTAGAGCAGATCAGACATCCCAATTCAGATCCCCGCTGAGGCGCTGATTTGCTCCAAGGAGGCGAACGGCGCTTCGTCATCAGACCGAACCAAACTGAGTGGACATCGCCGCCACGCACGCGTTGAGAGGTTTCCATGTGTGTGTGATTCGGCACTCGTGAGGGGTTTCCAAGC